CTCCCTCTCTCTCTCTCTCTCTCTCTCTCTCTCTCCTGCCTTCTCTCCCTGTTCTCTATGTCTATCTCTGTCTCTCTGTCCCTCTCTTTCTTTCTCACTCATGCTATGTTTGTCTGTCGGTCTGTCTATCTTGCTCTCTCAATCTGTCTCCTCTTTGTGTCTCTCTTTCTCACTTGCTCTTTCTTTGGTTTTGTGTCTGTATGTTGTCATTGTTTTGGTGTTTTCATCTATTTGTGTATGTATACAGTGGAGTCTGCATAAACCTATATTTTTTTCCCCCTTTTTAATGGTAGGTGTTTTACAGCGCTCCCTACTGCATAAGGTCATATGAGCACGTGGGACTCTCCAAACATTTTCAGTTGGAAGGAAATTTTGAATTTTGCTCAGGTGGCGACCGAAGCTTACTCTTATTGATTTTAGACCTAAGACCACCAAGAGATCTTTAAACGCCTGCAACTTGCACATGGGACCTCCAAGATTTTTCGCCCTTGTCTGAGAAGGCTTGGTGTAGATCATTCTTACCAGAAGATCAGGGGTGTGGCTGAAAGACAGCAGTAAGAAGGAGCCAAGGAGTAGCAGTAGAAAGGCTGCAGAAAGAGTCAGAAGCCCTGAGGAGGGCGCAAAGGAGGTGAGGGGGTGGAGCAGAAGCAGGAAAGGAGGTGAAAGGAGACAATTTAAGAGAAGAAAATTTTTCTGTCGCCACCCGGATTCGAACCCGGGACCTTTGAATAAGAGATGAACACCTTAACCTCTAGACCACGAGAGCCCCCAAACCTATATATGCGGGACTGCCGGGTTTTCTCCGGATTAGCCTTGTTTTCAGTTTAGAGAGGCTACTCAAGTAGAAGAGGACAAAATCTTGGATTTTATTTTCTTTGAGTTGAAGGTTGTTTTCTGATTTTCTGTGTTTGGCTTAAGCAGACTCGTCCATATATATGTATTTTAGTCCAGTCTGTCTCTGAACCAGTACAGAGTAAAGCTTGGTGAAAAGTGAGCAATTGATAGTAATAAAAATCTATACTTACTTTACTTTATCCGTCCTCTTGTACCTCTACAGCGTCGAGGGGAGAAAGAGCTTCCTGTCTCTAGCAAGTTTGATGGCCTGGCTGGATGGGATATTGAATGTTTTTAGGGTATCCTTCACACCCTGGATCCAGGTCTTTCTTGGTCTTCCTCTTGCTTTGTACACTGATACTTTCCTGTAGTAGGTTTTACTGGCAAGCTGGTTAGGTGCCATACATGTGAGATGTCCAAACCCCATGATTGTTTGCCTTTGGATGTAGTGGAGGACAGGTTTTGTTCCCACTATTCTCTGATCTTGTTGTTTCTGACCATGTCCCGTCTGGTTTTGTTGACGGCTCTCGTTAGACATCTCATCTCGTAGGTGGTTATCTTACGTTCCAGACTTTTGGTCAGGGTCCATCTCTGGCACTGGTAGGTCAAGGTGGGGATGAAGATAGAGTTAATGAGCTTGGCTTTGGTCTCAATGGGGATGTTAGGATGTTTGAAGAGTGGGGCAAGCTGGTAGCTGACGCTGTTAGCCTTTTGTACTCTCGTCTCAAATTCTCTGTTGAGACGTCCATCTTCCGAAAAGATGCTACCAAGATACTTGAACTGGCTGATTTGTTTCAACGGATTTCCATTGATGGTGATGTTAAGGTTTTCAGGTGTTCTGCTGATTTTCATCGTCTCCGTTTTTCTTTAACTGATCTTCATGTTGAACTTTTCACATTGTGTTTTCGGCCTGTCTGTGTGCTCTTGAAGTTGCTCTTCTTTCTCATATGCCAGGCTTTGATCGTCCGCAAACAGCATCTCATTCAGGTTTATCGGGTTGGGGTTTGCTTATTTTGTAATTTTGTCCATGTATATTATAAATAGTAGCAGTGATCGCAAACACCCTTGTCTCACTCCAGATTACCAAAGATAATGTACTTTGTTTTAAGAGGAAAATGTTCAGATTTCTTTTTGCTAGAATAGCTTGATAAAGTCTAAAGGCATGTGAGTAGTTTCATTGTTTTGCTTCGAGATCTGAACATAGCTTGTTTCTGTCTTGTAGTGCACTCATCCTTTATCCTCTCAAATTGCTCTTCCTTTTCAGCTTGGAATATAGAGAAAATTCACGACGCGTATGTGATAGCTGTCGAAGATGAGGCTCGTGAGAAACTTGATCGCCTCGCCTGGGCTCAACAGGTGCAGGTGGTGGACATGTCTCAGCTGATTGCACCCACTGTCACAGAAGTCACAGCTACTACAACTGTTACATCAACTGTTGCTGCTGTCAGCTCTGTCACCACCACTCCCACTGCCATCAGCAGCCCCACAGCATCAACACAGCAACAGCATAGTCTCGGGACATTTGTAGCAGACACCACCACAGCCAGTGCAGAGTTCTCAGCTAATAAAGGTGTCTTTGTTGTGTGATAGTGTTTGTGATTGAGAGAAACTATTCAAGGACTCTTTAGAATTGGCAGTACTGACTCATATTTTTTGTACTTGCTTCCTTGGTGCAAATGGTGTTAATCATTGTGCCACACTTGTCAGCTGTGGCTGATAGCAAAAGAGCAAGTAACTATGGTTGATAACTTTTGCCTTTTTTCACATTGCTGTTTTTTCTTTGTACAGCTTTGTTGGAAGCAGAGTTTCCTTTGGTGGCTTTTGTCCCCCTATATTAAAGATAACAATACCTGAGAACATTCATTGCACGTGAAAAAAAGCCTGTATTGTCTTACTGAAGTGTACTAGCTGCTGACAATCTTGTTTGATTGTGGGTGGTTGGCGGGTGCTCTGGTGCATCTTCTTTCCTATCAAACATTCTATCGTCCTTATCTCCCCTTCTTCTTTTTTATGTCTGTTACTCTCTTGTAACACCTCTAATCTTCTGGCGCTCATATGACCTTATGCTGTTGCGAGCGCCGTAAAACATCTACTAAAACCAACCTTGTTTGATTGTTTGAGTAAAGACAAGCACTTCAACATAATAATGGTTATTTAGTGGTGGGAAGAAGTAAGACAGGCAGACAAAAGCAACAAGGAGTCTCATTTTATTCCCGCAGCTTTGACCTGCACCACCACAACAGTGGTCAGTGACACTGATACTCAAGTGACCGTCACTACCAGCACAGCCGCAGTTGTCACAACGCAGGGCCTCAGTGCTCGTGGTGGCCAGGGTCGCGGGCTGGAGGCCAAGACGTCTGGGAAACAACGCTGGAGGCGGGGGGAGGGCGGAGAGGAATTTTTTGTTCAGCAGAACCCGCTCTACGAGTCTGCAGCTGCTCTCATCAACTCTGCAGGTGAGTACCTGGCCATGCTACTGATATACATTTTACATAGCCTCTTTATTTGTAAGTACTTTGGTCATTTGTGCCACTCAGTAAAAACAACTAATGAGTGTCCTGAAAGTGATTTTTGCACTCTGTAGAAGAGGTATTTTCCTTGATGCCACAACTGTAACAGTCCCACAACAGACTTATTTTGGTTCTGTTGATCAGTCTCACAACAAAATTTTGTCTCTGCTATGTAACCCCTACACTTAAAAAGTTTACACTGGCTTGTTGTGTCGATGGTTTAGTGGTTAGGCTCACAGATACACAATCGTAAGGTTCTAGGTTCAAATCCTATCAGAGCCCTGATGCTGGTGTCCTTAGGAAAGGAATTTCTCACAAATTTTCCTCACTTCTCCTAGGTGGGAATGGGCACCTGGCTGTAGTCAGAGAAAGATCTTGTCAGTTTGAAAGTGTTGGAGCATGTGCAATCCTCAGATTCCACTGTATTCCTTCTCTTAGATGTTGATAATGTTTCCTCTTATTTTAGGGTCTGCTGGGGTAATAATAGTTGTAAAGCGCGTATAGCATGCTGCAGATCGGGGATATAATAAATAAAATAAAATAAATTACACTTTTTTTTGTCCCAGAAGGGCACTTTGGTTTACAAGGGCAAACATACAATATTCATACATAAATATATAATTAGGAATACACAATATTACCCAAATACAGAACAGTTTACAACCATGCCACTGTCGGTCGCCACTGCAGCGCCCTGTATTTTGAGCAAGGGTTGTTGTGTCTTGCTCAAGGACACACCCCAGTGACCACCCATCTGATCCCCGTGTCACCCACACTTGGTTGAACATTACTTGAGTCTAAACTCACTACTCACTTAGCCACTGGAGCCCCCAATATGCACTATATAAATTCAATCATTATATATTTTATGTGGAATAACACCTCTTACTGTTACATAGTTTCCCGGAGTTGTCATCATGATCATATTACAACCTGTTTCAACATCACAATGTCATTTCCATGGTAATTCTCAGTATCTGTTTTTCCTTCTCCCCCCTTTCTTCTCCCACCCCAACCCTTCCTCTCCTCTTTCCTTCCTTAGATCCAGCGTCCATGCCTGGAGAAAAGAAAAAGAAAAACAGCCCTTCTCCAAGAGGAGGGTTTGACAGCGGCACAACCAACGGTGGTAGTGGAGAAGAGAGTGGGGAATGGATGGAGATGAATGGCTATAATGACACAGGCAAAAAGAACAAAGGTTTGTGGATGTTTAACTAGTTTGTACTCTGATTCGAGAACATTAACTTGATCAAAGCTATAGGAAAAAGATAGATACAGTTGGGTTTTTTTTTACATACACCTGGTGTCCCAAGGGTCTTGAATATTTCACTGTAACTGGATAGATTGATGAAAAAAGAGGATGGCCAAGAGTGGTATAATTTTAAAAAAAGTTAAATTCTTGGGCAACTGGAGATAATCAGGATATTGCAACATTTGAGGATAGCTGAATATAGGACTGAGTTGATACCCAAGATTGCCAGTGCTTGCTCCGGACCAGGCACTTTTGAGAGCTGAAAGAAGTTCAACGGTCAGTTCTTCTCACTCATCCATGGTATAGAAAAACAAGTTTCTCTTGTTTGCAGTTTAAGGACTGTCTGGTTGTAGACAGTGCTGAGGTTCTATGGTGTGGTCTGTTCTTTCACTTGTCAGTGATGTTGCTGCTCTAACCTGTTCCTGATGACTTGTCTGTAAGAACTGTCAGCATCCCACTACCACTGAGTGGATGGTTGATGGGTGCTCTGGTGTGGTGTGCTCCTGCTTTCCTATCAAACATCTATCTTCCTTGTCTCTCCTCCTTTTTTGTGTTTTGTTACTCTCTTTTAACACCTCTATTCTTCGGCACTTATATGACCATATTGTGTTGCAAGTGCCATAAAACTCTTACTAAAACTAAAAAAATACCCCACTACCACTGGACAACTTTTGTTTCAGGGTGGTACCTCTTCTTTTAAGGTTCTATTTCTTTACTATTCCTCTGTTTATATGTGTCACGACATAGTGGAATCAGACACCAGTCAATTTTTGGGCATATGGAGTTAGTGGTATCGTCTTAGAGCCTGTCCTTTTGCCTTGCTTTCGATGAAAAAAATGTTCATTTATCTTGGATACAAGTGGAGGTATTTGCGATTAAAGGAGGTGGGGGTCGCCTGGTTTCAGAAGTTAAATTAGCGAGAAAATTGCCCCTAAAGTTTAGTTATTTCCTTTGCTTGAGAGTCCGTTGAAACTTACAATTTACATCTTTTATGTCTTTTATCAACGTTTTTCCCTTAAAATCGCGACAGAAATGTGTTCTTTAATGGGCATGAAAGGTGTGGTGCCAAGAAACAAAAATTCAATAAAAATTCCCAAACCTGTGGGAAAAATCCCCAGTTTTCTTCACTTTCATTATTTTGACGAGCGCCTGATTTCACCCCGCTGACTCACATATGTCTGTCTTGCTTTTCTGGAGCACTAAACTGCCGTTTTTGTCTTTGTATCCTTCTCTGTACTCAATAAAAATTGTATATAATTGCCTTGGTAGGTAAAAGACGCAGCAAGAATGGTGGTGGGGAGAGCCCAGCCATTGGCGACTTCCTCTTCAATGGGTCCATCAACATGAACAGCAATGGCAGTGACCCTCACTACCGAAATGGTGGTCACTCTCAGCTCAGTGGCAGCTACGACCTCAGCAGGGACAGCTCCTTTGACCTTGAACTTGATGACCCTGGCCCACACCGTGAGATGGCCATTGATGTGCCAGAGAACTTTGTGGCGAGCGTCAAGTCCCCACCTCGCTACCCACCGCCCCAGGTGGCTAGCAGCATGCACAACCAGATGAAAGACAGGGGAAATAACTCTCACTCTCAGACCTCACTTAATTCCGGTGCAAACAGTACTAAACACCAGTCCTCCAGTCTCCTACAACCGGCTGCACATCCGGCCCAACCCACAGCCCATGAGTTGGAAAGATTGCATCATCATCAAGAAGAACTCAAGGTATGCACCATGTGTTTTCTCTCAGTACTAGTTAATGTGTCTTTGGCACTTATATGAACTATTTAAGTTACAATTACAGTAAAACTCGTTCTTACACTAAAACAACTGTATACCCAGCTTTATGCATGAATTATATACAGTCAAACCTGCCAAGATGGTTGCCTGAATAAGTTGGCCATACAGCTACTGTCCATTTCCCCCCTTGCTTTTTTTCTATGTAATGACACTGTGTAAAACGATAGCCTGTCCAACACGGCCTCAGCCACTTTATTTTATTAACCAACAGCTGAAAAAAACCTGTCTATGATGGCCGAGCAAATCTTTCATTGCTTGATGCTTTGCATACTTTATAATGACTCCGGATGCTGTGGAGTCATCATTATCCATTCATTTGTCTATATTGTTAGTCTCCCCATTGAATGAACTGTTCATGTTTACTCAAGTTGATCTGTTGGCAACAAAATTCAGCTGCTGGTGAAGGTGTGTGAACCGCTATAATCTAGTAGCCCTGCCCCACATCTCTGACCTATACGAATCGTCATTTTTCCTCTACTTCTTTTGTATATTTCTCACTCTCTTGTGAACTGCTATTTCCGGGGTGCCTTAATAGTCGAAGCAAACTTTGTGCTATTGAGGCTAGAGAGATGAGCAGAGTAAGCCTGATTCCCAGTTTGGACTTTCTGTTTACATCCACCCCTTAGTGCTCATATTATGACCTTATGCTGTTGCGAGCGCCGTAAAACCTCACTAAAACTAACTGACCTACACGAATCAGAAGTGAAATGAGCAGTTGATTTATGTAGCCAGTTGATAACAGTGGATGTCAATATGAACTTGTGACAGCTCATTCACCGAGTGATGGTGATCCATTTGTTTCACAGGGGCACTCGGTCTTCCTTGTCTAACAGATTTTTTGTTTTGCTCTTGCAGTGCATACTGTCTTCATCTTCTGGTACTATCCGTAGAACTTAATCACAGCAGCCACGAAACCTCTCTTTTCAACCTCCCTCCAAAAGAAAGATAAAAGCCCATTCTAATTGGTCTCATGGCAGTCTTAGGCCTTCGACCGCTTCCATTTGGGAAGAAGGGAATGGTTTTTACTCTTCATTTGGATCAAGACTGCCACATGTCTTGGACGGTCACTTTTCTTCTTGTCAACGAGTGGCTGTCTTATACAGGTTCAACTGTAGTGTGTGTGTGCGTACCTGAGTGCGTGTGTATGTGATGTGTGTGTGTGTGCTAACACCTCTAATCTTCGGTGCTTATGTGACCTTATTGTGTTTCAAGTGTCGTAAAGCGCTTACTAAACAGATAGTTATAGTTTTTACAGAAGTGCTGTAGTAGTTATTGTTTTTGTTTTACAGAAGGGCTGTGGTAGTTATCATATTTATAGAAGTGTTGTAGCAATTGTTGGATTGTTTATACAGAAGTGAAGTGTGTTCTTTGTGCTGAAGTGCTGTAGCAATTATTGGCTTGTTTTTACAGAAACGTAGAGAGGAAGAAAGTCGCCAGCAGGCAGAGGAGGATTTCCTACGAGCTTCTTTAAGGGGTTCCAAAAAGCTCCAGGCCTTGGAAAACAAGAAACCACTGACACAGATCCCCTCAGGGTTTGTCAACACAGCTTTTGATGATGAGGATGATTTGGAGGACGAAGAGGATGATGAAGTTGATGACATTGAGGCCAAGTCTCAGCCCAGACAGTTGTCAGATGTTATGGTTGAGGATCGGTACCTGAAGAAGAATATTGGTATGTCCTGGTGATATGTTTTTATGGGTTTTAGATGAGTATTTGCACCTGTATTTTGAGGAGGATGGAATGGGAATTATGTAGTGGAAGCTGATATGAGTTTTTATAGTGTGATTCTTCATATACATGACTATGTCTTGGGTGTGTCACTGTGTATCTTCACATGTGATTGTCTCGTAAATGTTTCACTTTGTATGTACATATATGTGACTGCCTAGTGTGTCACAATTTTTGTTTACATAAATGTGTTTTGTATCAACACATGCACCTATGTCGCTAGTGTGTCACAGTTTATCTTCACATCATGAAGACAATTAGTGTTTCGTTGCTGTAGATTTTTTAAACTACACATTTCAGGCACTAGTATTGGTACCTTTAGTTTTGTTTGTTTGCATCAATTGATGGGGAACATTTTGTCTTTTGTTTGGGCCCAGGTGTGGAAGACCTGTTCTCCAGCCTGCACCACATCCGTAGCACAATCACTGGGCCGGAGGACCAGAAATACATTGCCTTCCTGCGATCATTGTTCCAAAACGACCAGTTCCAGCAGGCTGTGAATCTGCACTGTCAGGTCGGTGGACAAAAGCTAATGATTACTGTTGAATGGTTGAATTTCACCAGAAAATAGTTTCCTCCTTCCAGGAACTCCATGTTATAGTAGGACAATTTTAAAACACAATTTTAAATAGATTTATATTGTTATCAGAGTTCTGTCTTCTTATGTCTTAAAGACTGAAATATGCTGTAGTCTGACCTAGTTTTCAATTTTAAGGTAGTCAAAATTGAGCAGTAGACTTATGTACGGTTTGACATTGTTCTGATGCCTCCCTTTGTTAAACAGCCCTGACGGCCAAGGAAAAAGATTCAATGTGACTTGTGTATGAAAAGTGTCATTTGTAGGTGAATTACAGTCAAACCTGTGTAAAACGGCCAACCAATGTCAAGGAGAAAAGAGGCCGTATAACACAGGTGGGCGTCTTAGGCAGGACTGATCAAAATGAAGAAAATTAATCATTCTCTTCGGAGGTGTAAACCGGGGCCGATCTCCAGCTTTAAGCCCCATTTAGACGTACAGTTCGCTGATCGACAAACTGTAGGATATCGAGAGGATTGCCGGCATTCTGTCAATTTCATGTGGAAACTGAGCGTGAAACGAGAAATCCTCTCGATATCGAAGGGTTTTCCGTCCAACCACCAGATATCTGGCGACGCCAGATATTTGCCGGTCGGCGAACTGAAGGAGTGACGACGAGGGGGCTGCTTCTTTGATGTTGCCCCAGGCGGAGTTGAAAATGCATTCCAAAAATTTCATAAATATTCGTCAAATAAAAAAAATAATAAGATTTTCGTGATCAGCGACCCAAAATTATTAAAATTCACACGAGGAACGCAATTTAATCGCGAATTACCAAGTTAAATTCTTTTTGTGTGTTTTCTTTTGTTTTACCATTCGGCCCACCCCTTCATTTTTGAAAGTGAAGGCAAATAATGTGTCACGTGGTGTGACATGTACCGCCGAGATATTTTGGAGTCAGCTGAGGGCTACACACCATTGCTTCATCTGGACTATTCTAGACAGTAGATCTAGACCACAGAATTCTACACTTGTAGAATTCTGTGATCTAGACAGTGCTGTTTATTTAATTTTTTTTTTTGTGGTCTACCCGCTACCAGTTTTACTATTGCACAGGTCTTCTAGCCTAGTTCTAGTACAATGTCCGTGTGGAATAACAAGGAAACTGGGCGCCTTTTCGATAGTTCCCACCCCGCTTATTTGAACCTAGAGATCTTGATCTAGATTTAGATCAGAAGGTTATGTTTGATGCGCGGCGAGTGAGCGAGAGATATCCAACCTAACTGCAGAACATCAAATTATGATAAAATGCCCCCTCCCCCCCCAATCCCCCCTCCATATTTTTATTAGATTTGTAGTTGCCCCCCTGGAAGCTCCCTAGATCTACTCTTGGGGCCAAAACCAGCGAATAGTACTGGGGGGGGGGGAACTACCACCGAAAAAGCGCCGATCTTCTAGAGAGTCTAGTCTAGACAGAAGGCCTACTACTATTTCACAGGTCTTCTAGTTCTACTACAATGTCGTGTGGAATAACAAGGAAACAGTACTACAGTTTATCGAACTTTATCGAACGTTGCCAGTGAAGGCAAATAATGTGCCACGTGGTGTGACGCATACCGCCGAGATGTGTTGGAGTCAGCTGAGGGCTACACGCCATTGTTTCATCTAGACGATGCTGTTTATTTATTTATTTATTTTTGTCTACACGCTACCAGTTTTACTATTGCACAATGTCCGTGTGGAAAAACAAGGAAACTGGGCGCTTTTTCGGTAGTTCCCACCCCGCTTATTTGTACCTAGATCCAGATCTAGATTTAGATCAGAAGGCTATGTTTGATGCGCGGCAAGCGAGAGATATCAAACCTAACGGCAAAACATCAAATTATGGTAAAGTGCGCCCCCCCTTTGAACCCCCCTCTACATCTACTCTTGATTTCTAGCTGCCCCCCTGAAACCCCCCTACATCTACTCTTGAGACCAAAACCGGCGAATAGTAATTGGGGGGGCTACTGAAAAAGTAAACTGTTCTACAGTTCATCGAACATTATCGAACGTTGCCAGTATTGTGGAAATAGAATATTTGTGTGTGTAGGTACTTCTTTTTAATAGCCATTCTTTAGCCCAGATGGTCCTCTTTCTAGATTTCTTTTTGGATTTGAGAACAAAAAATGCTGCCAAATCATCCAGGTAGCTTGCTTCATCCATTGTTGACGTTTTTGACCTAGATCTAGCTACAACAGTCCAAGGACGGATAAAAACTGTACGTCTAAACGGAACTTCTCTCGTCGACAAACTGTCAGTTTACCGATGACCCAGATTGAACTTCCGTTGGTTAAATTGTCAGTTTGTCGATCAGCGAACTGTACGTCTAAATGGGGCTTTAGACAGCCGGAAGGCGCATTCTAAAGGGTTTTTGTTTTCTTTTTTAAAAAAGGAGGGGGTAGTGTAAGAACAATTTTTTGTGTTGTTTTGTTTTTTGGTTAGTTTTCTTTTTGTTGCTGATTTTGTGCAAGGGTAAAATAAAAGTAAGATGATGTAGACTGAGTGACATGGTAAAACAAACACACGGGTCACCACCACTCGGAGAACGAGCGACTCTTCTGTTGCAAGTTCATGTCAACGTCCATTGTTACTTTGATACACATTAGGTAAACAAAACAGTGACCAGTCTCCTCGCATACGATTTGTGCATGAGTCGTGGGCGGGACTTATAGGTTATGACGGATTACGCTTCCCTCACCAACAGTTGAAAATATATTGTTACCCAATGGTCAACTTGGATAAACATTCATTGGAAGGACTCACTATTATGACAGGTAAATGGATTATGACGGCCCGTCCACAGCTTGAGGTGCCGATTCAAAATTTATGACAAAGTGTCAGGCAATGAGTGATCTCGCCTGGCCGCCTGAGGCAGGTAAATTTGACCATGGGTTGATAAAATAAGGTGGCCGCGGACGTGTTGGACTGGTGACCTCTTTACACAGTTAAATTATATAGAAAAAACGTAAGGGGGAAAATGGAAAGTGGCCATTTTTACAGGTGGCTGTATTATACAGGTGGCTGTCATGGCAGGTTTGACTTTACATGTATTTAGAGCCTTTTGTTTTTCTCTCCTCCTCTCTTTCTCTCTGTCACTGTTTCTCTCATTCACTGTAAGTCTTTATTTGTGTGTGTACAAATTACATGTACTGCTGGATCAGAGGCTACTTGACTAAAGCATGCTGCCTGAAATCATCAAGATAAGAGTGGGGATGTGGGGGGAAAATCCACAAGTCATAAAGGCATATGTGCATTTTTAAAAGACCAGTACAAGTTTATGACGTAGCTCAAGAATATGATGAAAAAACGTTTGCCTTTCTCAGGTGATTGAGATTATGTCAAGGTCACCACCAGTTCGACCTCTGACGGATGATGTTGCTGAAACAGGCACAGAAGTCCAGTACATGATGACCCAAGCCCCACATGATCCTCATGCCCAGGAGTTATTTGCCCTGCTCAGTTCTCCTTATCTTAAGGCAAGAGACAAGTGTCTATGTGTGTGTGTGTGTGGGTGTGTGTGCGCACGCTATATGGTGCCTGAGTGCCTATGTCTGCTTTCCCTACTGAACACCAGGCTATGGTATGGATGGCTTTGATTCAAATCTGAAAATGGTTGGTCTTGCTCCTCCCACTTGGTTCTTTACTATTGGAGGTAAATATTAGATTTGAAAATCCCATCTATTGAATAACCTTACAATGCTGAAGGAAGCGTCGACCCTTTGAGCCTTCCCAAGCCTTGAGCCAATACTTGGGGGTAAAACCCATATAATTCTCCATTGCAGAGTGTGCTAGAGTGTCAGGATGCAGTGGCCCAGCAGGTTTTGCAGGCCCAAGAGGAGATGGTGTACCAGGGGGAGGTTTTGGACTATCCACTGGTCCAGTATGGTGAGGACAGTGTCAAGATCATACACCTGGAAAAGACCAATGTGCATTTGGTAAGTACTTCTCTCTCTTTCTCTCTCTCTCTCTCTCTCTCTCTCTCTCTCTCTCTCTGGCCCAAGAGGCCTCCCTCCCTCCCTCCCTCCCCCTCTCCCTCCCACTGGTCCAGTATGGTGAGGACAGTGTCAGGATCATACACTTGGTAAAGACCAATGTGCATTTGGTAAGTACATCTCTCTCTCTCTCCCTCCCTCCATCCCTCCCTATATCTCTCTCTGCCTCAGCAGGACCTTCATAAGATGTTTTATCCAGCGTGAGGAATATAAGATACATCGTAAGATGTTTTATCCCGCTTGAGGAATACACAGTAGTCTCCTCTTAAAATCCGGGTTCTTAGGAACAAGGAAAATATGGGATCTGAGCCGACTCATCAAGGGGAGAATCCATGGTGACTCATGTTCAGGATGTTCAGGTCCACAATCGGTTAAATGGTTTCCCCTTACTCTGAAATGTACTGATGTGACCCTGTTGCTACAGATACCCTGAAGATGTCCCTGAAGAACTTCTACATAAATACTTCAATGTGGTAGAGCTTAGCTCCTGACAGACCCAGCTGGAGAGCAGCACTCATAGTTCAGTGGGCAGCAAATCGTATGTGGCTTCACGAATAAGAAATGCTGAAACCAAAAGATTTCGCACAATTTTGCCAAGTCTAATTTGTTGTAAGGTCAGTTTGGAGTGACCATATCTCTGGCGACTCTAAACATAGATGAAATATTCATATGTCAGATGATTTAGAATTTATTTTGTTTTGAATTGGTATGCTGCTTGGGTGGCTAATGCAAGGCTTTTAACAAGGTTGGATGGTTACATTTTCAAATTGCTTTTGGACGCCACTGCTTATATCTTGGAGAACATGCAACCAGTATCACCGATTAAGAAACCTCAATAAAAAAGAACTTATGGTTTACAACATTGAAACAGTATGCCAACTCTGTGTGAGTGTGGGTGGTGCTGTATGGTAGAATCAGGCACTTGTCAATTTTTGCCTATATGAAGTTATTGGTATCATCTTAAAGCTTGTTTATTTGTTAATTTGTATTTGTATTTCTCAGTGAAGAAAATACTCGTCTATCTGGAATAGGAGTCGAGATATTAGCAATTGAAAGAGGGGGGGGGGGCTTACCTGGTTTGGGTAGTAAAATTAACAATAGAATGGCTGCCAAAATTGGGTGACTGCCATAGCTTTAGGGTCGTGGGAAACTTAAAAATTTACTTTTTGTGTGCCTTTAACACTTTGCCCCTATGGGACACAGATTTGCGACGGTGTGATATAAGCATGTACTGCATCTGTGTCCTGGTCCGTGGGGATAAGTGTTTTGCGCGCTGCGTGGGTGGAAAGTGTTAATTGACGTTTTTCAGTAAAATCTGCACTGAAAAGGGTTTTAAATGGACATTTAAAGTGTTGAGCCAAAAAAAACAAACATTTGATAAAAATTGCCAAAACAGCGGGAAAATGCCAATTTCTTCATTTGCATTATATTGACAAATGCCTGATTTCATCTCGATGCCTCAAATATTTTTTTTTGTCTTTTCAGGGTGCTACAGTAAAGAATGAAGGTGACTCGGTTATCATTGGTCGCATTGTAAAAGGTGGAGCTGCAGAGGAAAGCGGTCAGTGCTTCAGCATGTTTTGTTTTTGTTGGGGGCTTCTCTTAGTCAGAACTAGTGAGAGTGTTACCGTTGTTGTTGAAGCGTGGCACTTTGTCCGATGTTGTCTGCTCTGCACACTTCTTCCCGGGGGCTCTCGTGGCCTAGAGGTTAAGGTGTTCGCCTCTCATTCAAAAGGTCCCGCGTTCGAATCCGGGTTGCAACCCAAAAATTTTCTTCTCTAAATTTGTCTCCTTTCACCTCATTTCCTGCTCTCTAGCAATGTTCTGTCGTCTGCTTTCGTCTCCTCTTTCTGCCCCCACCCCCTCACCTCCTTTGCCCCTTCCTCTGGGCTCCTGATTCTTTCTGCAGCCTTTCTACTGCTACTCCTTCGCTTCTTCTTACTGCTGTCTTTCAGCCACACCCCTGATCTTCTGGTAGGAAAGATCTACACCTAGCCTTCTCGGACAAGGGCGAAAAATATCGGAGGGCCCATGTGCAAGTTGCACACGTTAAAGATCCCTTGGTGGTCTAAAATCGATAAGAGTAGACTTCGGCCGCCACCCGGGCAAAATTCAAAACTTCCTACCAACTGAAAATATTAGGTGTGTCCCGCTCATATGACCTTATGCAGTTGCGAGTGCCGTAAAACACTTTACAAAAACAAAAAAACAAACAAATACTTCTTCCCAGTGTTTCTATTATCCTGATTTATGGTGACATTAATTTACTATTTAGTGGACATGGTGATCAAATCTTTTGTTGTCAACAGTGGTTTTGAACTTGAGATTGCTTTTGAACGTTAGCAGATTATTATTTTTTTTGCTACTCTTTTTCTCAGGCTTGTTGCATGAAGGTGATGAGATCCTGGAGGTGAACGGCGTTGACATGAGAGGCCGCAACATCAACGAAGTCTCAGAGATGCTGGTGAGTCACTTTTTCTCTTCCTGCTTGCTAAAGGTACCACTGGTTGGTTCTACTTGTTGTCTTTACCTCTCTTCTTTAGGTTGATGTGTTTTTTTAATACTATTTTTTTCCTGCTTTGTCTTTTTTCTGTATTTTTTGTTTCTTCCTGCATTTAAAAAAATCTTTTCTGTTTGTCTGTCTTTTTTCTGAGCGCTAAATGATATCCAATGTGTCAATGTCCTCCACTAGCACAGACAGAACCCTGTAATCACTATGAAGTTGAAGAAAGTCTTTGAATGTTGACTCTGTAAGTTTTGTTACTCCCTAATATAGGTATGAGTTTAAAAAGCTGTGTAATACACATCACCTTGTCAGGAGGATATCAATGATCTTTGCAAATGCAAAGGGTTATTTTACTAAAATTTTTGTGTCCGAGGAATGAACATGGCATAAAATATTGGTGAAGGTAAATAAAAGAAAATATGCATGGATGACCACATTCCTAATTTCAATATTCTTGAAAGTTTGATGTAGCCTCAAACAGTTTATTTTTCAACTTGTTAGGTATTAATTACCTTTGGCAAAGGCATGTCCCGCAAAGATGTGTTCAGCAAAGATGTGTCCCTCAAAGATGTGTGCAGCAATATGTCCCTCAAAAATGTGTGTAGCTAAGACATGTTCCTCAAAGGTGTGAGCAGCAAAGACATGTTCCTCAAAGATGTGAGCAGCAAAGATAATGTCTCTCAAAGATGTGTGCAGCAAAAACATTTTCCTCAAAAATGTGTGCAGCAAAGATGTGTGCAACAGAGATTTGTTTCTCAAAGATGCGTGCAGCCAAGATATGTTCAGTTAAGACATGTCTCAGCAAAGTATATCTAGCTGGAGTTCATTGCATTGAGACCTGATGTCCCTATGGAGTACATGGGGGGGGGGGGGAATTTTTACTCATAAATTGTTGTCTTTTTTTCCTAATCAGTGTGTACTTGTGACAACACAGCTTTTGACAGAGAGGTTGTCTGCCTGTTGTTTCTGTTGTTACCCAGAAGTGCATTTACTACAACATATTAGAAACATGTGGAATCCACCTTGAGTGGAGCAAACCTTTTTATTTCATTCATTGCATGTCTATGAAGATGTTTTTGGAGATAGTGTAATGGTTGAGTGGCTTAATGTGTTTCCGGATATTGTTGTATATTTCAGGCGAACATGAGTGGAACCATCACTTTTATCATCATCCCTGGGCACCGAGCTCAACTCAATTCTCAGCAACGATCAAACATTGTAAGTTTTTTTTGATAACCTGAGATATGCTCTAACGATCACCTGTATTAGACAATCACCTGTTACAAAGGGCCATCCTCCATTTTCCCCTTGCAGCATTTTTTGTACATTATAATGACACTTTTTAAGCTGGCCACCTGTCTAATTATGTAACTTTTCTCCTCAACAATGGATGGCTGTCTTAAACAGTTTTGGCTGTATTTGCAACCTAGAACACCTTTAGCACTAGCATGGGTCTCAATATTCCGCTATTTAGCGGATTTCCGCTACCGCCATGTCCTCCGCTAAACCCCGCTACTGCGAAAGCGGGTCAATCAGAAAGAGTGTTCCTGGAAGCAGAGTGACTGCCAGGCCTCGGGAATTACCCGAGAATTTGAAAAAAAAAATCGCCGAGACGCGGGAAAATACATAAAAGATCTCGAATATTATTTGAAAACCAAATCTGATAACGTCCGTAAGTTAATTTTTGCCAGTCGTGATTGTGATGTTAATTCGGCTTTTCCCGGTGTGAAAGTACGTTTCACGCGAACAGGCGGCTATGGCGGCAAGCGGAATTGTGTGTGACACCGGGGCTCGACCGGAAAATCAAGATCTCGGAAATTTGTCTGTAAAAGGAGGTTCTGCATTACATACGTGGTGTCGCCATGAAAATAATGTTCGTCACTGTGCTGTCGCTTGTGGGGACGAAAAAAAAAGAAAAGAAAGTTATACAAGCGTCTTGTCGGGCTCGTCATTGTGACCGGTCAATGAACCTGCACGCGTTCTGAGCGCTGTGAAGTATAGGACTCCGGAATGGGGGGAGATTATTGATTTTTAAAAAAGAAAAATACACTCGGGGATGGGGGGAGGGCTGGTCGCAACAAAAAAAGAAAAGAAATTGGAAGCAAGTTTTAATATTTAGAATTTTGATTACTAGATCTAGATCTACTACAGCTCTCTGCAAAGTAAAGTGCGCGTTTGTGCATGCCTTGTGTATAATCGGGATCCGTCATAACTACTTGTAGGCGTGTTAATGAACTTAGGGCAGGGGCCTAAGTGTTCGCGTTTCATTGGATGGGTGACAGTAAATTATGTCTCTATATTTTAGCTTTTTGTTCAAGATTCGCAGATTTTCAATGTCACTGTATCTTGCCCTCCAACAGTTCTTACACCTCTCACACTGAATAGGTTTACTTGAGCTATTCAAGTTATTACTCTACTTTGAGTCTGAGCATTAATTTTGTCTTTCACGTTTATTATATGAATCATTACTCCCAGACTGGTTCATGACAGTCGATATTCTGGTTCTAGGCCTTTTCCCAGGCTCAAAACAAGATTCATTTTAATATAGTTTATATAGGCGAATATGATAAAGGTAAAATATAAATAAGTCGCACAAGACCACAGTGCGCCTCTACTTTCTGTACGTAATCAAGATTGTAAATATTTGGTAAGTGACTCTTACTTGAAATTATATTCCAAACCCTCAAACTGGTATGAAATAACCCTGCTTTGGTAAATTTATGGTTTTTATTTCAACATTATAACAGTATAATAATAGTGGGTGTCTCACAAAAATGGGCTTCTGTCGCGATCACGCGGAAAATTCCTCTTTTAAAAAAATTCTGAGTTGAGACCCATGCACTAGTGAGACGAGGAAGATTAAATAGTATTCTTTGCATTGGGACCAGGGTTCTGTGCTTCAACAGTTGTGTTTTTTGCTATCGAAATTCAAAATGCAAGTTACTTGTTTCAAATTCTTTCTTATAATGGTTCTGTCAAGGTTGTAAAATCAAAGGTTTCCACTCTTCAATCACTTTACTACTTTGCCAGAAAGCATTACTTAGATTAGTTTCACAATTATTATTTGTGAAATTACTTTTCTTTGCTTTTTCTTCATGTTCCATATGTTCTTACAGAAATGACATTATACTGTTATGCTGAAATGACCCTCATGCAGACTATTGAAATGATTATTATGCAGACTTACTGAGAGGACCATTATATGAACATACTGAAATGACCGTTATACGGACTTACTGAAATGACAAATATATAGAATATGTTAAAAGAGGGGCACACTAGTTCCTTATACCCATGATGTTTGTTGTTGTTACCGGCCAGATGCATCTGAGGGCGCTGTTTGCATACGATCCTGAGGATGACCCATACATCCCTTGCCGTGAGCTGGGCATCAGCTTTTGCAGAGGGGAGATCCTGCATGCTATTGCACTGGATGACCCCAACTGGTGGCAGGCTTATCGGGAAGGAGAGGAGGAGGATCAATCGTTAGCAGGGCTTATACCTAGCAAGTCTTTCACTGAACAGTAAGCTACTTCATTCTCTTGGGTTTTCTATTGAGCTTATGTTGCATCTTTTCCAGAGACATGTAACCACTGATTTATTCTGTCCCATCCCATCAGAGGTGAACTTTACTAATACTTGATTGGCAAACCTGTTCATTTCAGTTTGCAGTTCGAGTCTCACTGTGAAGTTATATATTCCAATCTTATTAGTCTTGTTTTGATTGCATTGTACTGTGTGATCAGAATGGTTATGATGGAGAACCTCCATCAAGGATGTGAAGATCTACGCTTCTCAGCTGGGAATTGCAGCTTGGACCATACGATTGTGAGTCCAAGGAAGATGTGCCAGTGTGGAAGATATGTGGTTCTGTGAGGGAAATGAGATGACGAACCTTTTTGTAACTTTCAGTTGATAAAGTGAACCTCCCTTTCCATGAATTAGTTGGAACTGAATGACTAATTTTGCCAAGTCGAAGGTTTTAATGTAAGCAAAGTCTAATCGACACGAGGTTTGTTCATTTGTGATTTTATGGGGAGGTTCATCCAAAATGCACCATGTTACAATGCTTTGCCCAAATATCGGATTTATTTTTGTGTCTCTGACTTCTCAATCAATTGTCATATAGTTTCCAAAAGAATATATGCTATTGCGCTTAGTAGATTTGAGGTGAATCATCAAGTATTTCCAATTGTGTGCTGAGATACTATTTGTGAGGCATCGTGGTGAAATCAGGCTCTCGTCACAGTAATGAAATCCAAAAATAGGGCTTTTTTGGGCAATTTTTTTCTTCTAATTTTCTTTTTTTTAGCCCAATATCTTTTATGTCCATTTAAAAAACTCATGTTTGTGTGGATTTTACTGAAAAACTTTGATTAAAGGCACAAAAAATGTATATTTTCAGTTTCCAAGGACTCTCAGGCTATGGAAGTTACCAAACTTTAGCGGACATTTTCTTGCTAATTTGACTTCTGAAACCAGGCAACCCTGACCTCTTTTAATCACAAATAAATCGACCTCTATTCAATATAGATGGATATTTTTTCACCAAAAGGAAGGCAAAAGAACAGGCTTCAATACATTGCACCCGCGCTATGAGTATACTCGTAGCTGCCGCGCGCTTCAGTCCACCGAGCTATGACAATAGTCGTGTCAAAATACCGGTCCTCAAAATCAAGTCCGAACCACTTAATCCAGGTTTCTATTGAAAATAACAGGTAGCTTGTAGCTTGTAAAAACTCTCATTAGCTTGTTTTGATCCTGTTTTGCACCAAGTACGAGTTCGCTTTGTTGTTTTGTTACCCCTATTAATGACAAGAAAGCGAACCTTTAAAACTTGAGTTGAAAAATAGTGACGAAAACATCTGTGCCTATATTTCCACCCATAGTATGTCATTGAATACAAAAACATCACTTATACTCATTAGCTGGATGATCTAAAAGAAGACAGTTTCTTGAGCTACTAAAACAGAAGTTTTTTCTACACTTGTTACATTTGACACTAGACTTTCTCTCAACTTTCTCAAGACGATAACAACGAAAACAATTTCTGCGCTAGAGATGGACGAGTCTCTTTCATTGCCGCAAGGTTGGCCTACTCGTAGGTGTATGTGCAGATCTGCAACACAAATGCCTCCATTCGAAAGAGCGAAGAAAGCACCTGTTGGAAAATAGATACACAAGAAAGAATTGTTGGTAAAAGCCATCCATGATAAGAGATATTTATATATGATAAAGATAAATTTGATGGATCCACGAAAGAAAGTTTAGGTGGATATATAGGCTCTACCAGTACATCAACATACAACATTCAGCAGCAACACAGCAAAGTACACATTACAAATTAAACTACGCACGCACCAATGCACCATTCAATCAGACAAATGTACACACACAGTACAACTGTACGGGATGAACCCTTCTCTCTGTCTCGCTCATTCTTTTCCCCTCTCCCCCCCCACCCCCTGTTTCTCTCTTCCTCTCATGCAAGAGCAACTGAGCTGAGGCCACATAGATCTAAATAAATTATTCCCTTGTTCACATTAAAATAAAAAAATTGATGATACATTTAAATTGAAACAAATAATAACAAACTGCAGTAGATAGCAAACGTTATCAATCAGTTGTAATGTTGTAAACTAAGAGAATCGTCTCAGGAAGCACCATTTTGAACGTGAACAAGCAGCTAGCAACCGCACCTTGGGATAAAAGAAAAATGCCAAAAATATAATAAAAGCGAAAAAAACGTATCAATTCTAACCAATTTATAAGAAAACACCAAATTTTAATCATTTATACAATAAAACACACGTTTTAGTACCACCCGGGCCAATATTAGGTTTCGATAGGTCTAGCTGTTCATAGATGCTCAGTGCAATCATCACTTACCCGTTGGCTGCACCACTTGGTCCTGGTTGAGGACTTGCTACGTCATTGTCAGACTCTTTATCTGATTCAGAGTCTCTGTCATCGATAGAAAACTCACTAAATGAATCATCCAGACCATAATCGGGGTCAGAATCGGACATTTTACTTGAAAACTTGTTTGTTTTTTTGTGAAGACAGTTGAGCAGCTGTTCTTTGTTTACAAAATGGAGGCGAAGGAAACGAAAGTAGTCGGGAAATTGAGGTAATTATCCGGGCACCTCTAACGGCTAACTCTTTCAAAAAAGGAGTTACAAATTGTTTTTAAAAGTTTAGCCATCCTTTACCGAAATAAACCACTTAGCAGACTCTAGGCAAATTATTATAGCGACAGCCGGCTTCGCTCTGGGCCCACCGACGATCGACCGATTTCGGTCGATATACAAGGCCGTGAACTTGATAGCGTTAAGGAGAATTAAGCACTCACTGAAATTTTCATGGATGAGAAAAAGACCAACAACTACAAAAAGTGTTTGTTGTAACATATGAACCATGTTCTTGGTTTTGTTATCGGCATAAGCGGCAAAGAAAGTGAAAGTAGACATTAGTCTAGAAAAACAAGGCAATCAGATTGATTTTAGTGCCTTGAAAACTTTGAAGAAAAGCAAGATCTAGACCATAGATTTACGATTAGTTGCTATGGGTAAATCGAGTGCCGATAAGTAGCAGTCGGACAAAGAATTAGATTGTTTTCTCTGCTTTTTCCTTCCTCTTTCTCTCTAATAATATTAAAAGAACATTTAAAGTAAAATCTAAGCGAAATGCCATATTGATAGCCTAAATAGTTTGGGCACAATGTGTGTCTAAAGTTACTGTGTCGAGTTCAGATTGATTTTTTCCCCCCAGCTCGCGGCAAGCCAGGTGGACACAAGTGCACCACCCCCGGCAATCCAGGATGAATAGGGTTAAGATGATATCAATAACTCCATATGCCCAAAAATTGATGAGAGCCTGATTCCACCACGTCATGACACATATACCACTCAGCCTGGGTTGGCCATGGAATGCAGGACGGCCTCCTTCTAAATGATCAGTTAGTCATTTCACAATTAACCATTACCACACATGTCCTTTCAATGGCTCATTCTGTGCTTTCTGTTCATGCCCCACAGACCCCGTTGTCTCTCAGTGTAAGCTTTCTTATTTTATAACTTTTTCCTTCTCCATTCCTTATTCTTCATCTTGCCCATACAATGATATCTATGAATTTCCTTCCATATACCATAATCACTCAAATGCTTTCCATTCCCCTCTCTCATTAATTTCTGCTTTGCTTTACAGACGAGTTGCAATGCTCACTGCAATGGAGAACAAAGAGAACAAAAGAAAGGGAAGGGTATGTGCCTGTGGCAGGAAGGAAAGGAAAAAAAAGAAAAAGAAAAAGTCCCTGTACAATGGAGGATCTGAAGGTAAGCTTATGTCAATGCTGTGTCTGTCTACTTTTAGAGTGTGATATAAAGAACTGAGGAGAGGAGATGAGAGTGAACATGTTATGAAGAACTGAAGTGATGGGAAGAGAGTGAGTGTGATGTGAAGAAATGAGAAGAGGAGGAGAAGAGAATGAGTGTGAAATAAAGAAGAGATGAAAAGAGAGTGAGTGTGATGTGAAGAACTGCGAAGAGAAGAAAGTGTGTGTAGTAAGAAGAATCGAGGAGAGAAGAAGAGAGTGAGTGTGACATGAAGAGCTGAGGAGAGGAGAAGAGAGTGAACGTGATTTGAAGAACTGAGGAGAGGAGATGAGACTGGGCCTGATATGAAAAATGGAGGAGTGGAGAGCAGCGTTTGACTGATATGAAGGCTTGAGGAGAGGATAGTAATTGAATGTGATATAAGACTTGAGAAGATGAGTAGTGTTTTAGTGAATTATGAAGATGAGAGAAAGGGATATTGCTGTTGTCATTTTTTACTCCTGGCTTGTCTACACGACTTTTCACAGATGCAGAAGAGACTCTGACTTATGAAGAAATCTCTCGCTACTTCCCGCAACCCAACCGCAAACGACCTATCATCCTGATCGGCCCCTCCAATGTTGGCCGACAAGAGCTACAGCAAAGACTCATTGACTCTGACCCGGATAGATTTGGTGCTCCAGTGCCTCGTAAGCTGGATATGCTCTTTTGCCCTCCTTACATTTTAATCCCTGAGGGATTGTAGACTAAGAAAAGTCATCATTTTCAGCTTTTGGAGATGTAACTTGAAAACCGTGGGCACCTGCCGGGCTCATGTGTGGGGTTTTTTTTTTCCTTCCAAACTCAAGATAGGAATAAGCCTGAAGCAGGGGAAGGGAGGTGTGGTAAGTTACACCTCTTTTTCTGACAAACGTTTTCATACAAAGTCGAAAACAATCATCACCTTACTTGTTTGGCACAAAATAGGATGCTGGATTAAGCATGGCAGATGTCAATGTTTAGCATGAAAAACAAAAGTGTTATTCATGTTATTGCTTTTTTAAAACATTTCCATTAAGAACTTTTTGCTGGAGTCAATTTTTTCATATTCAAAATAAGTGGCATTTCCATTCATCTGTGTCTGGGCCCTCTTGCATTTTCCGTAGGCTTTACCTTTTTTTAAGGACGTGTAGAGGCATGTGTAAGAAGGGAGGATGAGGTGCTATCAGATCTGGTGGAGGAAGATGGGGATTTTTTTTGCCTTTTTTTTATATTGGTATGCTTAATTCCTTTCTCATTTCCTCTATTATTTTTTAATTTGCGTTTAAGGCTTCATTTTAAGTGTCCTTGTGCGAAGTGCTTCTACACCACTACCTTATATTCCATGTGTGAAAGAAATTTCGTTGAAACTTCTTCACCTTATGACAACTGAAAGTAATTTTATTTCATATGTTCGTGATCAACACTTTCACCTTCCTAAGTTAAACAGAAGTGACTATTTTAGAGTTTATTTGGGTAATAAAGTTGGAAAAGTTTTCAGACACTAATGAATTTGGCTTATGAACAGCTGAAAAAAAGAGTAGTACCAGCAGAGCTTGCGTAAACCCGGCTTTCGCAGTGGTATTCAGCCAACTAAACTAGGAGCCGGTGTCAGTAGTTCTCAAGTTTTGCCATAGAACCTGATATCTGGCGAGATAAAATTTGTGTGTGTGGTCTTGTTTTTTCAGATACCAGTGGTTAATGGTGCACCTTTCTACTCCTTCGACTTCTGTGTTGTCAATGTCTTCATATATTTTAGGCCTTTATTATACTCCTTTAAGAGAATATATAAAAGGTCTTTGCTTAGCACTCTTCCATTGTTCCACATTTGTAGACAATGGTAATTTCTGGGATTTATTCTCAGAAACAGTGTATGTCCATCTGTTTTCTTTGTGTGGTGTTTCAACTCAAAATGCTGTGGAAACTTCTCTGTCATAGACACTACACGTCCACGACGAGCCAGTGAGGTGGACGGCAGCAATTACCATTACATCAGCCGCGTAGACTTCCAGGCAATGATCCAGCAGAATCAGTTTGTGGAGTACGGGGAGCACCAAAAGAACTTCTATGGCACCTCGGTGGCTGCCATCCGACAGTTGGTGGCTCAGGGCAAGGTCTGCATGCTCAAACTACAGCCAGAGGTGAGTCCTGTGCTAGGAAGGGGCATGTGAATCATTTGCTGGGAGGGGAGAGTGGAGGTGAGGTATGTGCAATGGGTGGGGGTGAGTTATGTGCTTGGAGGGGGAAGGAGAGGAAGGGAGGAGGATAACAGCCCTTTTCAGGGTATCCAGCAAAGTCGTAAAGTCGTAAAAAAGTCGTAAATTCGGTGCCCTGGTCGTAAAGGTCGTAAATGGTAGTAAATTTGCCTTGAAGGTAGTAAACATTTGGTAAACGGTCGTAAATTAGCCTGCATACTGAGTGATGAAGCCAGTAAAACTTTTCAGTGAGCCCTAGCCGCGGTACATGACATCGTTGTTGCCGGTCGCGATTGTGATATAATAGTCGTTCACCTTTTCCCCGTCCGAGAGTACGTTTCATGCGAAAAGCCGCTATAGCGGCAGGTTGAAGTGTATGAGACACCGAGGCTCGATTGGGAAAATCAAGATCTACTTTCGCTTTCGTTACCACCCTGAAATTTGGCGAAGATAGACTGATAACGCAACATTTGTAATATGCAGGTTGTGCAGTATAAATGCTGTGTCGCCGTGCAAATAGAAT